TAAGACAGTAAAGGCCCATTTCCCGGAATCTCTTTTTGTGTAGCGGAAAGCGACACAATAGTCATTGCACTGTTGATTGCCTTATGTTTTTTATGAAGTTCGAATCATGTAAAAACAGTTAGTTCGTAATTTACTTGTGGTTGTGGCATGTCCATTGTGGCAACATGCGTTGAAATGTCCATTTGTGGCCTCCTCTGCGCGAAGTGAAATGCACCACAATGCAGGCAAGCGCTTTAAGAGGACCTAGATCGTGAGAAACAACTCAACTCATTTTCCAGCGTTCTTCTAAAGACAGGTTGTAAAACAGCTTCTGGATTTCTTTCACAGTTAGGCCCTACATGACATTGTTCAACCAATAAAATTTCATCAAATAAGTTAAAGAATTTTAATAAAAAAAATATTTGCATTATTATTACTACGAGCTGTTGGTGCGTCCTACGTACAGGAATCGAGTAGTCCATTAAAACTGTATATAGTGTGTCTATTACTAATTCAAGCATAGTTTAAGCAGTTCAAAATTTATAGTAAAGAAAAAGCTTCTAAGATGAATTAAAACATGTGATCATTGTTATTTTCCCAACCTTTCCTCAAAAAGTCGAGTAGTAAAATGATTTTCATAAGCTTTCTTTTGAAGATTCGTGAGCTTCGATTCGTATACAGCAATGATTATAGAATCTTACTTATTTCCTATAATCAATGACAAAATCACAGAGTAAATAAACGAACCTCATAGTTCTATAGAATATTTTTTTATCCAACCAGCTGTTAGTTATAACAAATTATATTTCACTACAACAAACTATAGTTATTTGTGCAACTAGTGAGAACAGTGAGCAATTGACTCACTCGAGAGAAATCCTTACATTATACTTTTCCTACAGTTACCATAAAACAAAATAAATTTGTGAAGAAACATAACCTATTTTTACACAGAAGTGAACTTTTAATATAACATTTAATGTGAAGTGACAAATACAACAGTACAACAGCTGACCAGCTGATTTACAGCCAGTGCTGCCAACGTATTTCTCGCGCATACGACGTTGCCTGCATGTTACGCGCTCACTATTTCGTGCCTTCACGTTGCAAATCTGGAGTGAGACAAAGTAATTAGGATGAGCGAATTGGCCACTTTGCTTTCTCAAATCAGTGAGAGAACATGTACATTGTTAGGTAACTGTAGGAAATAGTTATTTGTGCAACTAGTGAGAAAAGTGAGCAATTGACTCACTCGAAAGAAATCCTTACTCAGAGGAATGGTTTCTCGAGTGAGGCAATTGTACTTTGAACTCGAGTTGCACATTATACTTTTCCTACAGTTACCATAAATAAATAAATTGGTCTTATGTTTCTTCAAACATAACCTATTTTTACACAGAAGTGAACTTTTAATATAACATTTAATGTGAAGTGACAAATACAACAGTACAACAGCTGACCAGCTGATTTACAGCCAGTGCTACCAACGTACTTCGCGCGCATACGACGTTGCCTACATGTTACGCGCTCACTATTTCGTGCCTTCACGTTGCAAATCAGGAGTGAGACAAAGTAATTAGAGTGAGACAATGTTAACATTGTCTCACTGATGAGCGAATTGGCCACTTTGCTTTTTCAAGTCAGTGAGAGAACATGTACATTGTTAGGTAACTGTAGGAAAAATATTTTAAAAGACTGCTCAAAATAATTAATTAGAAGATCTAGTATTTTACCTTTGACTATTAATACAACAACTTTGTCTATGTATATTTAACGGAAAGTAAATAAAGATACGTCTTATAACACTTAAAACATATATTTACGCTTATGCTGTTACTCACAAGACGGTAAATATACAAAAGATGGCAAGTGGTGATCGAGTAGGCCCATTCGCCTTTTGGGTCTGATGATGATTGGAGTGTCCAATCGAAATCGATCACCACTTACCATCTTTTGTATATTTACCGTCTTGTGAGTAACAGTATAAGCGTAAATATATGTTATATGTGTTATAAGACGTATCTTTATTTACTTTCCGTAAATTTAATAACACGTACAATGCTGATCAAGAAGTTATTTATGTATATTTAAATAAACTCTCATCCTCTTACCGATTAAATGAACGTATCAATGATTATAGCAGTACATATAGTATAAATAAATCAATTCTACGTATGTCATTTCATTTTCATCCAAAAGCTGAATTTGGGTTGAAAATGTTTAATGTTTAAATACAGCTGTTACGTTAAGCAAATGGTATTATACCAAAAGCTAGAGTAGAATCATTGACTATTTTAATAGTCAAAGGTAGAATGTTAGCGCCGGCTGCTAACTTTTTAAAATTCAAAACTTAATTTCTAAAAACTGAAACCCTAAACTAAAATTATGGCTTCGACATTCCCTAGTTCTTAAAATTATCTTTCTTTCAACCTAAAAATCATGAAAATCCGTCAAGTGGTTGATTCAGAATCGTGAAATAAAAAAACCCTGTCACGTTTTAATATACAGTTTGTAAATTAAGTATTAAAACAAATCTGTATTTTTAAAACCAAAATAGATAGAAATATTCTGTTTGTGGCAATAATTGTTAACAAAGGTTCCGCAATTTTTCACATCAAAAATATGTTTAACCTCCCTAACAGGGTAGTGGGTAGCGGGTGACTCATTTTTTTCAAATAGCAACCCCTATTGAGTGACCCTCATTTTGAAGGATTTGTAAAAAGAAACACAATGAAGCAAACCTGAGGTGGATCTTGAACACCATTCATAGGACTGTTATCTGGTGGCTTTAGGTTCTGTATACTTTTTATACTACTTAATATGTTGGTAGCATATTAAACAGGTAAGGCAAAAAATACTCTGCCCGTAAGAAGCATTGGGTATCGGTGTTCAAGTTTTGGTTATTTAGCGAATTTCCCCTATAGGGAATATTAGCGAATTTCCCCTAGGGAATAAGCTATTACCGTAGTACTCATAGTAAGACCTGGACCCGGGACCGATTTACTTTTTTGTTTTGAGGTCCCTAGAGACCAAAAACGCCATCCGTTCAAATTCATATATATATATTTATATATGTGTCCGTTAGCGCGATAACTCGAGCAAAAATCATCCGATTTTGATGAAATTTGGTACAAACGTGTAAACCTACGTTTATTTGAACAAGTTGGTGAACCAGCATGATCGGACTATAGGAACAGGGATTTTATGGGGCAAAAATTAGTTTTTCCCATTTTTGACCCTAAAAACTTAAAATTTAGCATTTTTTTCCCACACCATTTTGTAGAGCTTAAAAAAACAAATAATTTAGTATATTGAAGCGTTATTATGCGCCTAATGGTTACGGAGAAAATTCCAAAAAACTGTAAATTTAAAATTCCTATGTTATTCTTATGGAGAATAAGTAAACTGTTGTAGTTTGCTTGTTTATGATCATATTTTGATTAGATTTGGAAAATGCATTCATTTCATACTAAACTATTAACATTTTACAAAAAACACCTTTTTACCCTCCCTGTTACAGCAAACCTAAGTACTCGTTAAACTAATGCTAATTTAAATAGGGAATAAATGTGATATTTTTAAGGAGACATTTGAGTGTAAATCCAATCAGGCAAATGGAAATTCGCTTAGTCTGCAGATTTGCTGTGGCGGTGGTATTTCTTTTTATTTATACACACTGTTTCAATGGTGAAGATTCCTTTTAAAGCAAGTATTTTACTTATAAGCCTACATATTATATTAAGGATAATCATTGTATGATCTCTTCCAAAGCGTAATTACCTAGGCCTAAAACATATCCTACCACTGCATGGAAATGATCAGCTATAAACAGTACACAAAATAGCTCATTTCAGCTCTAGAGCGGAAATGATCAGCTGATTTCACAGTTGGCGTTTCTACACTAATCACAGCCGTGAATCAAGTACGTTAACAACCGGTTAACAAAGCAAATAATATAACCTAAATGACATTTTATATACAGCTAAAATTTAATCTGTGTGCTATGATAAATTAATTATGGTGGTATGAAAAATCTTGTGTGTATTACGAGCACAAACAGTCATTGCCACTCTCGAAATGTATGGCCACACTCAGCTAAAGCTTTGTGCGGCATCTACACTTTTCGAGCGGTCACATCTTTTGATGGCTCATCTATAGATGACAATTGTTCTTTAGACATCTCTACCAAGCTTCTACGTCCAGCCTTTCTCACAAATTAGTTACCACAAATAAACATGTAGCGTATTATTAAAAGGTAGATAATTTAGCCTGCCTCATTAAAGTCTGCAGCATTTCTAAAGAAAATAATATTACTAGTTTTTAAGTAACAAACCTGTTTATAAGGTAAATTATTAAATTCCGTTGACTCTTGTACAGTTATTAATATTTTTGTTTTGTTATACCTAATGTTATTGACACGTTTCATATATTGTTTGTACCAGAGCATATTTTAAGGGATTTCCACTGGGCGACAGGGGCGCCGGACCTACCGGGGAGTCTGGGGGTACGGATACCCCCCTTCAAAAAGGGGGTTCCGGGGGTTATCTCTCGGAAATTTGTGAATAAATTAAAGTGAAAATCATACATTTCTATGTATCTTTTAATGAATTTTTCGATTATTTTGTTTTTAAATAGTCCTTATAATCTCACTTAATTACGTATTCTAGAACGTTGTGACAGGGCAAGAATCCTTTACAACCTCTTGGGCCAAAATCATAGCTCAATACTCTAAAATATTTACAAAATGTTATTTTTTTAAATACTTTGTAAATTCTGATAGATTTAAAATGTGAATCATTAAAAAAAATATTCCGGCACCGCCCATAGCCACTGGGCGACAAAATCTCAGCACTGGGTGACACTTGTATCACCCAGTTAACATGCTATTTTATGCCCTGGTTTGTACAAAATGGATAAAGGATACTTTGATTGATTCTTTTTAGCTCTTTCATTATCGATACTGATACATAGAAATAGTAGGAAGGGGTGAGGGTCACATATAGTGATATACCAAACACAATCAATCAGTGGTAGTGTCTTCGGCTGATCACTGGCTTACTTTAATGTCTTGACCAGCAGGTCTATGATGACAGGCAAAGGTAAAGAACCCCAATGCAATTGAACTTTCACAATGCATTAGTTCATTCACATTCAATTCAAGTAAACTAAACAGTATATTAGCTGTCCTTCACTCCAAACTGCCACATTTGGATTGTCCCATTATCAGCTGCTGATATTACTAGGTTGTCAAGTTGCGGCCACAGATGACTCGTCACCTCAGTCTGTGATGAATAACTTTCCACATGTTTATGACCGTCATGAGTAAACAATAGTTTGGGATCTTCCTTTTCCAACTGGTAAACATACACATTTCCGTTGAAGCCACCGACCGAAACACAGTCTTTGTTGCCAGGTTTGAATCTAATCTGAGGCGTAGCATTGTCAGTCTTCACACCTAACTTAGTGTCTCTATAAACTGGAAACTCTACATTCCTAGTATCATACACCATTAATGTCCCATCACTTGAAACTTTTGCGTAACAAATATTGTTACATGAGTTTGTTATTCCCTTTGAGCACTCAAATAGAGAGGCAAAACTCCAATAGTTCGAATCTTTGGAAGAGGCTGAAACAAAGATCAGATAATATTACACAATAGAATGTTGTATTCCATCTAAAAGTGAATCATATAGTTTGAAAGTAAGCTGTTTGGAAACATCCTAGCACAAATGGCAATTTCCAAATTTCAAATCTTTTAGACGAAAGAAAATCAAGATTACGTTTACAAAAGATCTTGAACAATATTTGTCCCACAACAATTAGTACTTAAACCTTCAGTGTTGGCCAGGAAAGATACTTACTTACTTACTTACTTGATAGTTGATACTTGTACTTTGATACTGAGTATTACTTAAACCCTCAGTGTTGGCGAGGAAAGATAGACCACAAAACAAAATCTTTGGTACTTTGCAGGCCAACTCAGTTGATGTCTTTGTGAAACAACTGACTTAGGGGCCTGCTCTACCTCAGCTCGGAAATCTCAGCTCGGGATTCAGTAGCCATTTTGCGCCATTGAACAGCGACGCGAGAAGCGCTTGCAGACGTTCACAGCAACTGCCTTTGTAAACTACCCATACATGCTAATAAAACACAAAGATTGGGGTTTTACAGAACAAAGAACAATCTACCCCCCCCCCCCTTTGACCCAGGTTTTAGAATTTTAAAGTAACGATTCTATAATAAGTTAAAGCAGTTTAAAATTGCCGTTTTTTACTATATTCAAAAGAAGATCTACGGTCTTTATGGTACAATAATAAACATTTTGCAGCCATCATATTTTAGATCATTTAATTCTCTTCAAAATGACGTTCTAATTTTGATTCTACGTGAAATGTAGCCTTCGAAAACACTGTGTCCCCAGACCCTTGCGTTTACACGAAACGGCAGGGGTAGAGCGCACCCTTAAGATCGCTAGTGAGCAGGACCGGGTTTAGGGTGAGTATTACACTGGGATGAAAACAGCATTATAAAACATACTAGCAGCCTGTGTCACTTCCTCACTTCAAAATCCGTGGTATATTTAATGAATAGTTGATAAGACTGAAAATTATTATTTCTCATTCACTATTAATTATTTTCATTGCGTGCGCGATCTCTTTGAGTCATCTTGGTAAAATTACAAAAGCTAATGAAACATACTATGAAAACATGAAATCTCTTCTTTACATTTTAAACAAATAACGATACAATATATTTTCTTGAATTCCCTAAAACATCAATAAAACCACAAACTCCTATCACAAAACAAAATCCAACGTAAGTTATTTCCTTCATTACATTTTATACAAATAGCATTACAATATTCAACTTGAACTCACTGAAACATAACCAACTACACAGATAACCCCATTTTTGTATGGATGTAAACAAAATTGTATCATGGTTATCTGTTTCTATGTAAACAAATGTAAATTTGAAACAGTTCAGCACGATATATCATCCAAACCCGCAAAAGGCACATCTAGAGGATAAGAGCTTTAAATTGATACCCAATATACCTATAAAAATAAATATTTAGGGGTTGATTTGCTGGACACAAAAGTCCAATGAATTCTTTTAATAATATAGATTCTTGAAATTTGGCTCGATGGAATATATAGGCTAGCTTGATCAGCCTATAAACTAAGTTAGGTCTGGTAGTTTGATCAATACACACTATAAGCACAGAGTGGCATTGTTAAATGCGTTTAAACACAATGTCTACCAGCAGCCACACTCCTCTGTATGAAGTACTTTAATCCACTGGTAGTGAATGTGTTAACAAGTTGTCTAAAGCCACCACAATTCTCTATATGAACCTAAACAAATAGAATCAAATATAGACAGGCAGCAGTGCTGTGGTTAGCTTAAGTTCTGGCGTCCACTACTTGGAGCGCCTTGTAGTTAACTACGTAACTACACAGCACTCCTAGCGGTGGACGCCAGAACTAATGCTTACCGCAGCACAGCTGTAGGTCTATATTTAATTATATTTGTCTAAGGTATGAAGTACCTTGTATCACCTGGTAGTGAATGTGTAAAACATGTTGTACCAGCCACCAAACTCCTCTGAATGAAGTACCTTTAATGTGTTAATAGTATATTTCTTACCTAGGCCCGTGGCACGAACACTATTTTTCACCACACTATACATGATTGAGAACATTTATGAAATGTATACTAATAGTCAAAACACGTAAAACTTTAAGGTTATGTGAAGAAATATTCAAAGAAATCAGCAGAAATAATAATAAATAGTTGCTATACTAGGCAGCGGAATGAAACAAGTATATTGCAATGCACTGATTGTGTGTTCAAAATAGATTAATGTTTTAAGTAAATAGAGAACAGCTGATTTTCGGCCCTGGGGATATAAAACCCTGCTCGGCCTCCAATTGAAGCTCGTATGAACAGCAAAAGGTAGCTTTCAGCCTCCAATTAATGTTTGTAAAACAGCTTAAAAACATCATAGTGTGGTGAAAAGTTTGTTGTAATTAATTATGCTATTAACGAGCAAGTGAGGAACCACCCATGGCCAGGAATTGAGTTCTCCTCATGTTTTACCAAAGTTTTAAAATATATAGGTATAAAGGTCAGTTTTCCAATTATTTTTCCAAACAAACTTGTCTAAGATATTTCAGAAATTAAAGACAACGAAAAATTAAATGGCAGCAAAAAAAGTTGAGTTTACTATCTTTACAAACATAAATTAAAACACAATCAGTTTTAAAGCCAACCCTGAGAACGTCATATGGGTCATTAAACCTAGATGTTCGTGGAATAGCTCACTTTCCGGTAAGTTTTGTTCAAGGAAAGGCTCTAGGCCAGGATTTTGAATTGTAGAAAAAGGAGGATAGCAGCTAGCTTACCTTGAAAGTGTAGGTAGGCCATCATAGAACATGTAGAAAAACACTGTGCACACAATATTTCGTTCCCTGAAGGACTTTTTCAAGTGTAGAGGAAGAGTTCACAAATTACAAAATGGCTGTTGTCCAATATCACTTTCCAGTAAGATATTTGTAACAATAAGACAACAGTATGAGATACTCACAGAGGTGGGATGTAGCAAAACACCATCGTCCCGGAGACACTCTATGATCAGCTATGAAAACATCTCCAGTCCTCTGACCACCAAAAGCTGCTACATGAGGACCCAGGAACATTGGCACAGTCTTCTCATCATTCCCGTCCGAGATGTGTTGGTCTAGCTTTAAAGATTGGACTGGCTTCTCTGTCTTTAGGTCAAATAGATACATTTTATCGGTTCTCTTCTTGGCCAACCACACTAGAGAATCATTTGTGGCAATCATCGGACACTCCAAGGGGCAATCAATGTTGAGGGATTCTTTTTTTATTTCATCTGCAAAATGATGTTGTCCTCAATAAAATGTTGTCTAATCCATTTATCTAATGAACATTACATAGGTGCTAGACTTTGATCATGTTTTGGGTAGAGGAGCAAATACAGATGTTGTCCAAAATCTATACTTATTTAATACGCAAGCAGATTTTTTGTGACAATTACTCCTCTGAAACTACTGAACCGATTGACATGTTTTTGATGTCAGTGGAAAGAGCGTAACGTGAAGTTGTGCTGGAAACATTTTTTAGGGAAATAATGAGAGAGCGAGGCCCTGGAGCCCTTTAAAGTTTCGTATTTCTCCATAAGATTAACATTGGAGACAAAAAATGTTATGAAACTTCAGCTGTTGTCAGAAATTAAAAGTGAGAAGAAGAATAATTGTAAACAGTCAATAAGTTTGCTAATCTAACAGTTTGCTACAAACAGTCGCTGACTTGGTTGAAATTCGTTTAAAAATAACACCTGTAATACTTAGCAATTGCTTGAATTCGAGCAACAGGGACACTAGTTGAAACAAATGCAAAGATGAATGTTTTTCACATTAGGATCGCTTTAGCACTTCAGGATTATAAACTGATAACAAAACATGCTGTTAGTTAAAAAAAATTACCTTGGTTGTTACTGGGCCATTTCAAACACATGAGTTACCGTAATTGAAATTGGATTTATTTTCTGGATTTTTGGGTTTTGGTTAAAACTGCATTTTCAAGTGAGAGTTTTAAACAACGCTTTTTGATGTATCAACTCTGCAATAAACATATATTGAACAGTAATTATAACTCCTGGTCACTGCCGTAAATATATTATCAGTAAAGTTCACCTTCGTACTGTACCGGCTCACCCCTTGCTTTCCTGGATATGATCCACACACAGGCAGTTAGTCTATGTGGACGGGCAAATGCAAGGTTAAAAGAGGCCACCAACCTCTTTAAAAAAAATAACTTATGATACAAACTATTGACATTGTTTGAATACAATCTATAGCCATTTTTAATACCAATAACTTTTTCCCAATTTTTGTTTGAACAGAGTAAGCTAGAAGTACCATAGAGGATTATCGGCCTAAATCTTAAATTATCAATAAATTAGGATATAACTTACCAGAATCAGATGGTAAGCCATACAGAGAAATGCCCTCCACATCTACATATGAAACAATTAATTTGCATTCATCAATTGATTTTATCTGAAACAAACATTCTATTACAATTAACGAGTCGCTCTGCCCTTGCTTCGCTATGGGGTGAGAGTACAGAAATATAGGCTAATGAGTTTTTTTTTTGTATATGCAATTAGAAACAGTTACACCGCACTTACCTGGGATCATAAAGGCAAAGCTCAATCGTACTTACTGCTTATTTAAATTAAGATCTCTTATGTAAGCTGACAAAAAAGCTGTATAGCAGAATCAAAACCAGATACATTTTTTGTAATATAAACATCGACTATTTGAAGGAAACAAAAGTTTAACTAAGGGTTTGTATTAAACAAACCAAACCAAATGGAACAGCTGACTTGACTTAATACCTATAAGTATAAAAGAGGATGTTTGTATATATATATATATTTGGCAGTGATAAACTCAGACACCGCTGAACCGATTGCCACAAAACTTGGTACATCTATATATATAATTCCGTAAGTCAAATTTTTGTAAAGAAATTGTGAGTGACTGGATGGCCGTAGAAGGATGGGAGGGGTCTTATTTTAAAGGTCTTGACGTGAATTTTGAGGGAAAACTATTCATTTTTCTTATTTTTTTACCATAAATTCGCAACAGAATAAAACTTTTCCCATTAAAACAACATGGGGTTTAATTTGTTTACATATTTTGAAATTAAAAAACAGCTGTGCCACAGATTTGAAAACAGTGATCAATACACGCATTTGGTTTACTTTTAGCCAGTCAACTATGAAATGTATAATAATAAAACTGAAATATTGAAGATTAGTCGGAAAAATGTCTGCATTCTTTGTTTATATTTAAATCATATACTCAAGTTTCATTTTTTCATGCTTTTACGTTATTGTCGTATTAAAGGAATAAACGACATAGAATAAATATTCTGTATAAATAATCAAAGAGTCGAAATTAAATCTAACTTCTGTTTTGTTTTTATTTTTAAATCATATGTTCAAGTTTATTTTAAATGATGTTGTTTTCTTTATATTTCTACACATTTTAAGGTTAAGGTTGTGTAAATATATACAACTAAAATAACCTATGAATGTTATTGGTTCTAAAATGGTGTATTTGCATTCCTTCGTAAGTATTTTTTTAGTGCAGTGAATATACAACGTAGAGTAATCATATTCGATCATACTTTTATAAAATCACCAGGGATTCAAGATGTTTTGGTATGTAGGCTGCTGGATATATATATTCTTTTCATTATAAGTACTGTAATTAATATGAACGCCAGGGGAATACCACAAAGGCGGGGAACTGTTCATAGGAATGACAGTGCGCGTAGGAGAGCGACACATCAACAGCAACAGAAATTCGTCAAAGGCGTCGAGAAAATAGTGACTTAAAACCTGAAATATTGTCAAAACTAGCTGAAATTCTATTAGAAAATCCATTTGCACAAATTTACAAAAGAGCTTCGGAAGAAATGGTTGTACAAGGTGACAGTGAATTAGAACTTAGGTTTGTAGACAGGATAAATATGGATCGTCGTAGGTATAATGTTATTTTACATTTGAGCTTTTTAGGGACTTATGTCCCTACAAGCCACTAGTACGTGTAGAATTAGGAATAAGTTTATACACCATCAATTTAGTGATCCGTCCAATCGGCTCCGCCCCAGTGGCTCTGGAGTTTCCCATGTTAACCTTATGAGAAATGGAATTAATGAATCTTAACAGCTGTTTCAATTAAACAAGTTGGTTCTGTTCTATGATGTTCAATAGCATTAAAGTTACAAGGATTGCCAACAGGGTGCAGCACTATTATTTCTTTTACATTTATGACAACAGCTAATTTGCAACCAAAAGGTGAGTGAGCATAGCGAACAAACTTCAACGTGGAGGCGAGTTAGCGTAGTGAACGAGCTAACCTGAAGGCAAGTGAGCGTAACGAACGAGCTAACCTGAAGGCAAGTGAGCGCAGCGAACGAGCTCCAACCTAAAGGTGAGTGAGCGTAGCGAACGAGCTCCAACCTAAAGGTGAGTGAGCGTAGCGAACGAACTTCAACCAGGACGTGATTGAGCCATGCGAACGAGATCATCTTGAAAATTAAGAAGTTAAACGGGGCAAAGCCCGCGGGTTACAGCTATGTCAATGTTAAAGGTCAATGTTAAAAAGTATAAAGAATAGTTTTGTACCGTCCCCTTACAAAATTCACGAAGAAGTACGGTAAGATAAAGAAGATACAGGCTTATGGGACAACAGTGCTAACATATACTAACATATGCTTGTCTTGTCATTAAAATGCGACTAACAGTACTTTTGAGCTGCGTTTAAAAAAACATCCTGTACCATGTTGGCAAGGAGTTTATTACCCGAGATAAACTCCATGAGTCGTATCTTGTGTTTCTTTAGGATCTTTAGATGTTCAACAAAATTAACCTTTTACTTATGTAGCCTACAAGACAATCTTTCAAGCAGGTAGAAAGGATTCACTGTTGTACTTTTTGAATATATAACTAAGTTAATGTAGGCTACACAAAGTAATTAAAGAAAAAACGTTGGATAGTTTCATAAATTGCAATCACCCAATTGACCTATTACCCATACACTTGGAAATATAATGAAATATTAATAAAATGGCATATAAATCAATAACATTTTTACTCAATACAGTACAAATATTAATTGTATGTATTGTGAATATTTTGCTATAGGACCCTCCAAGAAGAGGTATAATAGCTTGAAGCGGGTACCTATGTATGCTCACATTGACGAAATCTATCCAGTCATACTGGTCAGCAATGGATGTATGGTATAAGGTACAAAGGTATGAGCATAGATAAATCATACTCCCTTGGTAGATTTGTCATCCTTATGGAACAGCTGAAGCCAATTTTATTGTTTGTTCTGTACGTCCAACTGTAGAGGTTATGTTTTCTTTACAATTTGTTTCTTGTTATTTCAGTCATTTAAAACCTCATTTAATCATATAAAACGATTTAATCATAAAGAATAACTAGTCCCCTAGTTATATAACCAAATAGTAAAGCACAAATCATGAAAATAACCCTAAAATAATAGAAACAAAATGTGGTCTACCCCAGCGATCGGTGTGGACGTACATGAACTAGACATGAAAAACAAGTTTCAATATTTACAATGGGATGAGGAGTCTACTTGTGTTGCTTAGTCTATGGTATGAGGTTCTTTCACACTGCGGTGCGGTTACAGTTTAGGTTAGCCTTAATAATGACAAAAAAAGGTACCGTAGTCCAACATTTACACAAAGAAAAGTTCAGTAACTTTCTTAGTGATATTTTATAATTTGTAAAAGAATTATATTTATTTACAAAAACATCAATGTAAGTTATGTATGTGTCCTCTTTTATGAAGTCCCTGTGTTTAGAAAAAAATAAATTGTTGGCACAATAAACGGGCCTGCCTTGTTTGTCAATTGTCATTATCAAACTGAACTATACTAATCTAAACAACCGTAAATGCTGTAGCGCACTGCAATAGCTCTCTTCTTGAAAAGACCTAACTTACAACAGAAAATCAATATATAAGTTATTGGTCAAATTTAATAGTTTAATCAATATTTATATCAAACTAATATTTCATGATATCAAACTAATATTTCATGAGATGACATATCATCAGGTACTAGGAACAGTACCAAGGTCATAACTAGCATAGGTACTGTACCTGATAACACATTTTTTCTGTAAATGTGCCACATTTTATTTTCAAATCGGTATTACTGGTAATTTCATTGTTGGAAGATAAAAGTTTAGATGGAAGTGAGAGCTCAAGAAGTTGGTGTCTTCTAGTGTTTGAACATGATACACAGATGCTGTCTGTTCCGGTAGATTCAACTTGTTGTATTGGTTGCTCCAATTCAAACATATGTAAATTTTCATATCTGGAAGATACATTTAAAGGAGTAAGCATATTAATTTCACAATCACGAGTTTAAACTTAAACACCAAGTCATGTGCATAGTGAATGTTTTAGTAATCTTATACACGGACGATACGCGTCCGGTAACCGGTTGTGGATTAGGCGTCCGGCAGTGACGTCACCAGGTTGTAGGGGCCCGGAACACCATTACCACAACGATACAATATACAGCCATCGGTTTCGTGGTGTAGTGGATAGAGTGCTCGTCTGATATTTAAGAGGTCCATGGTTCGAATTCCATCGGTAATTTTATCTTTTCGTCAAAGATTTTGCTTTGAATTTGTTCTTGACTGTACATCTTTTGTTAGAATTTTTGGCATTTATAATTTTATTTTATGAACAGAATTTAACCTTCATTCGATTTTTTCACTATCAGAAAGTTTGGTTGGTTAGGTTAGGTTATGACAGTAGGTAACTGCCGGACGCCTAATCCACGTTCGGTATATTACTTATATTATACTTGTATATATAGGCCTATAGGCCTACACGTATTTATACATGTATATATATTAAACATATAGGTATTAGCACATACCTGTCACACAAGATAAAACCTACACAAATGGTGTTTGTGTGTCATTACCTGTCACACAAGATTTGATGGATTGGCGAAATCACCAACTAGGCCTAATATTTTTTTGCAGTATGAATAATGGTACCTAAGTTAGATACATTATTTGGATTAAAGATAAGGTAAAAAAAATATAAAGTAATTTCCACACTATAATGATGATAAATAATAAGTTAACGTCCTGAATTCTAAAACGACTGTCGTTTTCTCTGAAAAAGTCAAATAAACAAAAAAATATTGGATAAACGACTGAAATTTTTCTACTATCAAATTCCCTATATTGAGGTTAGGCCTATTAAATTGTAAAGCATTTCACCCTGAATGTGATTTTTATATTTTGGCAATTTATGCCTTATAAAAGCTGAAAATATGTACAGTACTAGGCTTAAATAGGCCTACAGTAAACAGTACCTTGAAATTGAATCATAGAACCAGTCCTCATCAGTTATCTCCATTTTAGTCAAATGAAAATATGGATTGGGTTTTTAGTAGCCTTCAAACTATTTCCTAATCATAAGTTTTTTCATACATCTCGTAAAAACAAAAATGTACTTTCAGGTTTTATGTATTTTAGGTTTATTATAAATTTCACCTAACCTAGAATAATAGAATAACCTAACCATCAATACAGTGTCATAAAAACAACAAAAAAAAACAACTTCTTCTTCATGTCTGTGAAACTGCCAATAAACCAACATTAAGCTATGACGTCACCGTCAGATCAGTAGATCAAGAAGGCCGTGGCATCAAAACTTCCTAACCTCAATTTCATGTATCAAAACGTCCTAACCTCAAACACATGTTTCACGTGTCAAAACTTCCTAACCTCAAAAACATTTTATGTTTAAATCATACGTTTTGAGCAGTTTTAAAGTGTTTGTTTTACTAATGTACCATTTATATGTAACTGAGGTGTCTAAATAAAGTATATTAACCACAAATAACACTTGTTTCTATACCATAATTGTATCACGCAATGTACTCCCACGTGCGAAGATAGTATAAAAACCTGAGCTAGTAAAAACAAAAATCTTCAAAAACGGTTTATAAGATTTTGATAATTTTTATGTATTATAATTATAAGTACTTAAGCAACCTGAGAAATAAATTGCATTCCCATACCATGCTTATGATGGTTTCAATAAGTGGTAGAAGTTGTGCCTGTTCATTTCAAGGCAAATGATTTGCCGATTTAGTTAAAAATGTATATCTCAAAAATCGTTTAAACAATTTTAATCATTTTTATGTAGTATGATCATCATGTTTTAAGCTACCTGAGAAATAAATTGCATTCCCATACCATTGTTATGATGGTTTCTATAAGAGGTAGAAGTTGGGCCTGTTCATTTCTAGGCTACTGACTTGCCGATTTAGTTAAAAATATATATCTCAAAAATCGTTTAAACGATTTTAATCATTTTTATGTAGTATGATCATAATGTCTTAAGCTACCTGTAAAATAAATTGCATTCCCATACCATTCTTATGACGGTTTCTATAAGAGGTAGAAGTTGGGCCTGTTCATTCCTAGGTTACTGATTGGCCGATATAGTTAAAAATTTATATCTCGAGAACCTTTTACAAGATTTTAATAATTTTTATGTAGTAGGATCATAATGTCTTACTCTAACTGAGAAATAAATTGCATTTCCATACCATGGTTATGATGGAATCTATAAGAGGTAGAAGTTGGGCCTGTTCATTTCTAGGCTACTGACTTGCCGATTCAGTTAAAATTGTATATCTCAAAAATCGTTTAAACGATTTTAATCATTTTTATGTAGTATGATCATAATGTCTTAAGCTACCTGAGAAATAAATTGCATTCCCATACCATTCTTATGACGGTTTCTATAAGAGGTAGAACATGGGCCTGTTCATTCCTAGGTTACTAATTGGCCGATATAGTTAAAAATTTATATCTCGAAAACCTTTTACAAGATTTTAATAATTTTTATGTAGTAGGATCATAATGTCTTACTCTAACTGAGAAATAAATTGCATTTCCATACCATGGTTATGATGGAATCTATATGTGGTAGAAGTTGTGCCTGTTCATTTCAAGGCAACTGATCTGCCGATTTAGTTAAGAAAGTATATCTCAAAAATCGTTTAAACAATTTTAATGATTTTTATGTAGTATGATCATCATGTTTTAAGCTACCTGAGAAATAATTTGCATTCCCATACCATTGTTATGATGGTTTCTATAAGAGGTAGAAGTTGGGCCTGTTCATTTCTAGGCTACTTTCTTGCCGATTCAGTTAAAATTGTATATCTCAAAAATCGTTTAAACGATTTTAATCATTTTTATGTAGTATGATCATAATGTCTTAAGCTACCTGTAAAATAAATTGCATTCCCATACCATTCTTATGACGGTTTCTATAAGATGTAGAAGTTGGGCCTGTTCATTCCTAGGTTACTGATTGGCCGATATAGTTAAAAATTTATATCTCGAGAACCTTTTACAAGATTTTAATAATTTTTATGTAGTAGGATCATAATGTCTTACTCTAACTGAGAAATAAATTGCATTTCCATACCATGGTTATGATGGAATCTATAAGAGGTAGAAGTTGGGCCTGTTCATTTCTAGGCTACTGACTTGCCGATTCAGTTAAAATTGTATATCTCAAAAATCGTTTAAACGATTTTAATCATTTTTATGTAGTATGATCATAATGTCTTAAGCTACCTGAGAAATAAATTGCATTCCCATACCATTCTTATGACGGTTTCTATAAGAGGTAGAACATGGGCCTGTTCATTCCTAGGTTACTAATTGGCCGATATAGTTAAAAATTTATATCTCGAAAACCTTTAACAAGATTTTAATAATTTTTATGTAGTAGGATCATAATGTCTTACTCTAACTAAGAAATAAATTGCATTTCCATACCATGGTTATGATGGAATCTATAAGAGGTAGAAGTTGGGCCTGTTCATTTCTAGGCTACTGACTTGCCGATTCAGTTAAAATTGTATATCTCAAAAATCGTTTAAACGATTTTAATCATTTTTATGTAGTATGATCATAATGTCTTAAGCTACCTGTAAAATAAATTGCATTCCCATACCATTCTTATGACGGTTTCTATAACAGGTAGAACATGGGCCTGTTCATTCCTAGGTTACTGATTGGCCGATATAGTTAAAAATTTATATCTCGAAAACCTTTTACAAGATTTTTATGATTTTTATGTAGTAGGATCATAATGTCTTACTCTAACTGAGAAATAAATTGCATGTCCATACCATGGTTATGATGGAATCTATAAGAGGTAGAAGTTGGGCCTGTTCATTTCTAGGCTACTGACTTGCCGATTCAGTTAAAATTGTATATCTCAAAAATCGTTTAAACGATTTTAATCATTTTTATGTAGTATGATCATAATGTCTTAAGCTACCTGTAAAATAAATTGCATTCCCATACCATTCTTATGACGGTTTCTATAAGAGGTAGAAGTTGGGCCTGTTCATTCCTAGGTTACTGATTGGCCGATATAGTTAAAAATTTATATCTCGAAAACCTTTTACAAGATTTTAATAATTTTTATGTAGTAGGATCATAATGTCTTACTCTAACTGAGAAATAAATTGCATTTCCATACCATGGTTATGATGGAATCTATAAGAGGTAGAAGTTGGGCCTGTTCATTTCTAGGCTACAGACTTGCCGATTCAGTTAAAATTGTATATCTCAAAAATCGTTTAAACGATTTTAATCATTTTTATGTAGTATGATCATAATGTCTTAAGCTACCTGAGAAATAAATTGCATTCCCATACCATTCTTATGACGGTTTCTATAAGAGGTAGAAGTTGGGCCTGTTCATTCCTAGGTTACTAATTGGCCGATATAGTTAAAAATTTATATCTCGAAAACCTTTTACAAGATTTTTATGATTTTTATGTAGTAGGATCATAATGTCTTACTCTAACTGAGAAATAAATTGCATTTCCATACCATGGTTATGATGGAATCTATATGTGGTAGAAGTTGTGCCCGTTCATTTCAAGGCAAATGATTTGCCGATTTAGTTAAAAATGTATATCTCAAAAATCGTTTAAACAATTTTAATCATTTTTATGTAGTATGATCATCATGTTTTAAGCTACCTGAGAAATAAATTGCATTCCCATACCATTGTTATGATGATTTCTATAAGAGGTAGAAGTTGGGCCTGTTCATTTCTAGGCTACTGACTTGCCGATTTAGTTAAAAATATATATCTCAAAAATCGTTTAAACGATTTTAATCATTTTTATGTAGTATGATCATAATGTCTTAAGCTACCTGTAAAATAAATTGCATTCCCATACCATTCTTATGACGGTTTCTATAAGAGGTAGAAGTTGGGCCTGTTCATTCCTAGGTTACTGATTGGCCGATATAGTTAAAAATTTATATCTCGAGAACCTTTTACAAGATTTTAATAATTTTTATGTAGTAGGATCATAATGTCTTACTCTAACTGAGAAATAAATTGCATTTCCATACCATGGTTATGATGGAATCTATAAGAGGTAGAAGTTGGGCCTGTTCATTTCTAGGCTACTGACTTGCCGATTCAGTTAAAATTGTATATCTCAAAAATCGTTTAAACGATTTTAATCATTTTTATGTAGTATGATCATAATGTCTTAAGCTACCTGAGAAATAAATTGCATTCCCATACCATTCTTATGACGGTTTCTATAAGAGGTAGAACATGGGCCTGTTCATTCCTAGGTTACTAATTGGCCGATATAGTTAAAAATTTATATCTCGAAAACCTTTTACAAGATTTTACAAACTACCAGTTCTGGTAATATTCTTAATGCAGAGTTAGTACACGACTAAACGACTTCTAGCCCTAACTTACATAATATACCGTATGCATGATGTAGGGATACTTTACCATAGTTGTTAAGCTCATTAATGTTGTAAGAAAGGGAAATTCCCTTTCTTACAATGTATTAAACTTTATTTCATAATTGAAATGAAATTGGTCACATATCTTTGATCTGTAGCATACTTAATTTTGTTTTGTACCTAACTGTGTAAGTATTTCCATACTCTTAAGCAGTGAATTCAGCACATTCAAAAGTAATCTATTACCATATTTAACATTATTATTTAAGTAGGCCTAGTTAAATATTATTATTTTTCGCTGCCTTAAAAAATATAATGTGCACTGTAAACACCGTGAGGGTACAGTTTCTAAACACGTTGACTGCGCGCGCCGACTTTAGTCGGCGTCGCCAGCGCTTCAAAGTGGCGCGCGCCGACAAAAGTCGACACCAGACCAACAGAAATATATTGAGTCAGTGTGAGCTAAGCCTCAGACGGAGACGTTATAATCGTTGCCAGGCTGCCAGCTTAGAATGCGAGCTTTACTTTGGTGTAGGTTGGTACTAAAATTTCCCGTAAAATCCTGTCTGGCAATGCTTTTGTCCCGGTTTCGGGGATTTTATCTCTTCAACCCACATTACAAAGACAATGGATATGGATCCGTGCAGTGCTGCTACCTTTGGGTGTTTCAATGAACAACATCCACTCTCGGGGTAACACAGCACAGTCACCACTGCTCTTTTGTGATTCGTCAGACTGAAATATTTGAATACCAATTGCGTTCGCTGATTCGGTTGCGTGCCGGGGCTTCGCCCGCCACTTGGGAGCGCCTGTAAAGTCGGCGCGCGCAGTCAACGTGTTAACTGGGCT